ATTGTGACCTCCGTTGTCGGAGCTTGTTTGAATAAGCTATCTATTGTGATTTTTAGACAGCCTACAGTACTAAGAGAAATGATGTTCCTCGTTAAATGCGATACAAACCTCACTTCTTTTAACTCCCTCACCACACCGTCATGCATCCTGATCCGGACTGAACCAATACCACTAATAGGGTATATGTGGTCATTACCCATAAGCACGACATTGCCTCTTTCTAACTCCTCAAAGCTGAAGAACCAATCCCTCCTAGAAAAAATATGATATGTGGCTCCCGAATCCAACATCCACTCCGTGGAGTCGACATAGCGAACTGACGGTAGTGTAGGACACGAATAGCTTGAAGAATCTGAATCTAAATGTTCGCCAACACCTTTTGTAACATTCACTTCTGAAGCTTGTACAGCTTTCCCATTGTTCTTCTCGGCTTTTTCCTTCCACTTTGGGCAGTCAATCTTCCAATTGTTAGGACTCATATATATGAGCCTACTTTTGAATTTTGTTTTGATGATTATGCAAACAATTTATAATATATTTTTCAGTATCTGTTTTGTTCCAGGTTGAGTAACTCAAGAGCCACATTTATAACGAAGCTCATTCAATTCAAGTCAGATCCAAGATTTAGCTTCTCATGCATATCAACTTGGTACAACTAGAATAGGACTAGAATAGGACTTTATATTGTGTGAATATATCTCAAGCTCAATATCCACATAACACACACATTTGTTTTTAATGTGATTCTGACAATATACTGAGATATTAGTGTATAGACTTAAAATTTACTTTATACAACTTTTGTTTAGTCTATAAACTCTTTTGAAAAGGTTTCATATCCTTGTTTATCTCAATTGTCAAAAACTAAGAATATTATACACTCATTTTACATGCTTTTGCAAAACTAAGAGATTTTACAAACGGAGAATCACATTTGGAAAATTTCTTTTGAAACATGCTCATTTATATGTTTATAAACTATTCCCTAAATTTTATAATTTTTGAAATTTAATTGATATTTTAAACATGGTTTAAAGTTTAATTTTCATGTGCAAATCTAGTCTATGCATGTTTAGTCGACTCATAAGTCGACTCACGAAGTGCAGCGGAGTTGTGATTTTTCGTCTGCTGAGTCGACTCATATAAGCCGGCTCATTAGTCGACTTATAAGTCGACTCATGAGTCGACTCATAAGTCGACTTATCAGAGAGTCGTTGCATAGTAACGGCTAGTTTTCTGTTTTATGTGTTTGTGGCGTTTTGGTCTTTCTCTTTGGGTTTTAGCTGATGTATTAAGATGCTATATATACCCATATTCTCTGAACTCTTAAACTACCAAGAAGATTCTTTAAACAAGTTTTGAAAGAGTTTAGTTTGTGTTTAAGATGTGTTTAAGCCTTGTGTCAAGTTTCGTTTGAAGAAGAGTTTGTTTTACAAAGAGAAGCTTACATCATTTGTTGAGGAGTTTATCCTCAATATCTAATCATCCTCTCTTTGTAGAGAAGTTTTCCTAACTCAACTTTCTAGCATTTATTTTTGTTAAACTTATTGCTAGTTCTTATTGAGTTAGATTTTATCACGCACCCTTATTGAGCTTGTTATATCTCATATAATATATTGTTGAGTAGTGGTGTGCGATTTAGTAAGAGTGAGCTTAATTGAGTTCTCGTCAAGTGTAGAGAACAACTATTATTATATTATGCTTTTGTGAGATCACTTGTAATACACTTGTACACCGAGAGGAGTGTGTGGTGAGGATGGAGTCGATACCGAGAGGAGTAGCGTCGGTGGCCTAGTGAGAGGTGATAATTCCGAGCACTTGAGGTAGTCGATACGTGAGGACCAACACTTAAGGTTATAGCTTGTGCATGTACATTGTGAGATTTTGTGAGAGTTGTCGGTTGACTTGATAACCGAGTGTGTAGAGAAGTTCCGGCTTCCAAACCGGGTGTGTTGTGATAGTGGAGATCTCCTCAATGTGAGGAGCGGAGACGTAGGTCGTGGGGATCGAACTCCGTGATTATATCTTGTGTTTGAGTTTGTCTTGTGTACATTTATTTTGTGCTTTCTAACTTATATATCTCCTGCTATATTTGATTAATCTATAAAGTTTTTAAATTGGCATAAAATCAAATTAGATTAGCATAAGACCCTAATCACCCCACCCTCTAGGGTCTAACACCAATGTCCTTCTTCTTTACAATACCAACATTGATTTCTACCAACACTCTTATATGCACCTCTATTCTTTGATTTTGAGCGGTTTACATGGCGGTGGTTTGGATTACGGCATCGAATTGCTAATGCATCTCTTGATGCCTTCTCGGAGGGTTCATCATCACTCTTCCTCAACTCATAATTTGCCAAAGCTGATGTCACCTCCTTGTAGCTAACAGTAGTTCTTCCATTGATCATAGTGAGAACAAACGTATAATAATCATCATCCGGCAACGAACACAAAAGTAGCATTGGCTTGTCTTCATCCTCAACCATGATGTCCACATTTGGCCATATCTGAAAGTAGCTTCGTGAAGTTGTTTACATGCTCCCTAATGGAAACTCCCCTCTTCATCTTGAACCGGTAAAAGCTCTTCTTCAAGTAAAGCCAATTCTCAATGCTCTTCGTAAGATACTTCTCATTGAGTGTTTCCTACAATCTCTTCATCGATGTCTCGTTCATCACGTCATAAATAAGATTCGGCGTCAAGCATGACCGAATAACTCCACAAGTCCTACTATTCATCTTCTTTTAAACCATGTCCTCCATATCAGTGGGTTTCTCTTGTAACTCAAGAGTCTCCTTCAAATTCTGTGCATCCAACGCGTCCATCACCTGACACCTCCACAAACCAAAATTGATCCTGTCATCGAACTTCGGAACATCAATCTTCGTGTTATTGATGCTCAGACTCTGTATCGCCTTCGTAATAGACGAACCTGATGTTTTTGCTTCTCCCATGCTATCGATCTAACTCTTTAAATAGAAATCCTTCACTGAATACTTCGAACAAGCCTCAAGCCAAACATGAAGCTCTGATACCACCCACCTGTTGTGCGCGGCGAAAGCTCGAAAACACACAAACAAGAACAAGATAAATCACAACCAATAAGGCAAACACAATACCACAGCAAGACAAACGAATTTTACGTGGTTCGGTAAGTTGTCTATGTCCACGGGGCAAGGAAGGGGGGAGTTCTTACTATTAGAAACCAAGAGAATACAAATAGGGTTACAAATCTCACCAAATAAACCCTAGAACAAAGCCTCTAGATCTATCACAAATCTCCCACAATTGGATGCAGCAATCCCCTCTCAAAGACTGCTCAAAACGTCTTTGCTTAACCCTAATTAATTAGGATTAGATTTATATATCAACTCAAAACAAAACGGGTCAGAAAACCAACAGCCCAACTCAGACCCGACTCGCAGTCGACCCCGACATGGTGCGGCGACCGACAGAAGACAGAAACCCACGTAAACTGATTACAGGGACTGCGATCGACCATCGCGCCACTCGCGGTCGAAGCCAAAAGTCAGAAACAATCCTTCTTGGCACATTCGCGGGATCGACCGCCGCGCCACTCACGGTCGACCGTGCAGCATCGAAACTGATTCCTGCTTCCCAAAACCTGTTCTGATCCAAATCTTTCGCCAATACTAAACAATACTAAGTAAGTGATACTATTATATCGATTTTAATACACGCATGAAGGCATTAGCCTACACTATTGCAATCATAAACCCAGAGTAGCATGCCCAATACAATTCCCAAAGTACTTATAATATGAAATAAATAGCAAAGCAGAAGGAAGCAGACAGAATGTCAAAATGAAAAATCGCCTAAAACAGAGAAACACCACACAATTCCCAATCAAAAAAGACATAAAAGAGCAGCATGCGTAAATTTTCCTTAACAATAACTTGCACCTCCTCCACAGCAGTTGCTGCCACTTGCGCCTCCTCCTCCACCGCAGTTACTGCCACTTGCACCTCCTCCGCCACAGTTGCATCCACTATAGCCTCCTTCGCTGCTGTTGCGGAGACTAAAGGCAGCAACAAACGTGGCAGACTTCATCGTGTACATTGTGGAAGAACTCGAAGAACTGGATGACCCTGATTTCTTATTTACTCCAACATTTCCACGATTCGTTGTGCACACGGTAGAAGCCTTCATTGTGCACACAGTAGAAGCCTTCAAACCGGAGGAGCCCAATTTCTTTTTGACTCCATAGACGTTTCCACAAGACTTTTTGTGGTCGTTACAAAGCTGTCGAGACTTATGGGGATTCAGGTCATCGCCACAGACGAAGACGACGAGAGAAATCGCCAAAAGAGACAGAGCAAGTAAGCAAAGCAAAAGCAACCAGCCTTCTTTGTTGAAGACAAGAGTACTATTCAAAATCCTAGACATTGTTAGACTGATAGAAAATTTCAAATCATGACGATGGTATTGGAGATTGTAGGGGTTTATGTAGTGAAAAATACCAATGGTTGGGGATTGACAGTAGGTAAATAATTGATCATGGCAATGAATTACTTCTCTCTATTTAAGGTAAGCTCGAGCAGAGCTTAATAAATCTACAAGGAAAATATTACACCTAGCTATCTCATCAATTAATTAAAGCTTACCTGATATACAAGTAGTTCGATGCAGCGTATACACAACAGTCTAAGATGACTAAAATGATGAAAAAGAATTGGCTCATTACCATGTGCACTCTGCAGACTGAACTGAAATAAGTATTCACATGAAATATATAGCCAAACATTAATTGGCACTGTGAATTGAACAATGCGAACTTAGAATTGAGTGGATTCACAAAGGTATATGAGCCCAATCTCTCCTCTGTGAACTTAGCAGGTTGCAAAATATGGAACTGAGAGAACCCTAACCATGTGAGCTATTTCAAACAATCTCAAAATGGATAAAAACTTTAGAAGTTTTCAGTGCGAAGGGTTATAATTGACCCTTCACCCTATAAATTGAGCCCCTTATTATTCCTTGGTTAGATGACTGAAGCCATCCAACTGCAGGGACTATTAAGAGACATTTTCTTCTTACACCGTCCAAAACCAAACGGAAGTTAACAATGTTAGGTTGGGGGTGGATACCAACCTCCGGCGGCGGAGGAGCTCCGACGAGCTCCAGGATGGCGACAGGCGGCGAGGTCCAGACGCAGGCGACAGGACAAAGCTCGAAGCCCGAGTTCTGCGTTCGCCTCCCCCTTTTCAGCTCTGCGTTCGAGCGATGGCGAGCTCTGCGTTTGGATGGCGAGCTCTGCGTTTTTGGGGGGGGTCCGAACTCTGCGTTCGAACCTGACCTTTGCGTCAGGTTTAGCCGCTGGCGACAGGCTGTCGCCAGCTCTCCTCTCCGCCTATAAAAGAAAACCCAGGCTAGGGTTTCACAGCTGCCGAAGCTTCCCCCTCTCCTCCGATTTCTCTCTGGCGGCGAAGCCCCAAAACGCAGTCGCGTTTCCCAATTAAATCACAGCAGTGATTTCATTCATCTCCAGCTCTCAAATTGTTTTTTGAGGGGAGATTAAGAAGTGGATTAAAAAGAGAGAGAAATAGAGAATTAAAAAGAGGGATTTAATTGTGGGGTATTTATTCTCAAGTGAGAATTGAAAGGGTTCATACCCTTTGATTATTAACACTGTAGCTACAGTGTTTATTTGAGAAATCCCAGTTTAGGGATTTGCTCTTGATTTCTAATTTCTTGTTTGATTAATAAGAAATTATCTGTGTGGCTCCCGAGGACGTAGGCAGTTGCCGAACCTCGTACAGCACTCTCAAATATGTATGAGAAGCCATCAGCCTCAAATAAAGTCCATTTGATGAGGCGGTTGTTCAATCTGCGAATGGCGGAAGGTGCATCGGTAGCACATCATCTCAATGAACTCAATACAGTCACGACCCAATTGAGTTCAGTTGACATTGAGTTTGATGAGGAAGTTCAGGCGTTGATACTTTTGTCTTCCCTGCCAGAGAGTTGGAACGCTACAGTCACGGCAGTGAGTAGCTCATCGGGAAAGAGAAAGTTGAAGTTTGACGACGTTCGTGATCTGGTTCTCAGTGAGGAGATCCGACGGAGAGAGTCGGGTGTAGCTACAACCTCTTCAGTATTACATACAGAGTCAAGAGGTAAAAGTTCAACCAGAGGAAATGGATCAGATGATAGGAGATCCAAATCCAGAAATCCCAACAGTTCGAAGGCTATCGAGTGTTGGAAGTGCGGGAAAACCGGACACTACAAGAATCAGTGCAAGAGTGCACGGGAGGAGTGGGAGGCAAATGCAGATGTGAATGTTGCTTCCACCTCAGGAGGAGATGATGCGCTGATATGCTCTTTGGAGAGCAAGGAGGAGTCTTGGGTGTTGGACTCGGGAGCATCATTCCATGCTACTTCTCAGAAAGAATTCCTCGAGAAGTATATCCCCGGAAACCTTGGAAATGTATATCTTGGTGACCTGTATATGACAGCGGGTGCACGTTGTTCGATCTCAGTTGCAGCAGGCAATGAGACTTCAAAGCTGTGGCACCAGAGACTCGGTCATATGAGTGAAAAGGGGATGAAGGTTATGCACACAAAGAGAAAACTCCCAGGTTTACAATCAGTAGAGATTGATGTGTGTGAAGAATGCATACTTGGAAAGCAGAAGAGAGTTAGCTTTCAGGCAAGTAGCAGACCCCCCAGGAAGCAGAAGCTAGAGCTTGTTCACTCAGATGTTTGGGGACCAACAACCACCGCGTCGATTGGTGGGAAACACTACTTCGTGACTTTTATTGATGATCACTCTCGGAAAGTATGGGTCTACTTTCTGAAGAAAAAGTCAGAAGTGTTTGAGGCTTTCAGAAGATGGAAAGCCATGGTCGAGAATGAGACCGGTTTGAGGGTAAAGAAACTCAGAACAGACAATGGTGGTGAGTATGAAGACACCAGATTCAAGAAGTTCTGCTATGAGCACGGTATCAGAATGGAGAGGACCGTGCCCGGCACGCCTCAGCACAATGGTGTGGCTGAGCGCATGAATAGAACGTTGACAGAGAGAGCCAGAAGCATTCGGATGCAGTCAGGTCTACCGAAGCAGTTCTGGGCAGAAGCAGTCAACACAGCAGCTTACTTGATCAACCGAGGTCCATCGGTTCCATTGGAGCACAGAATACCAGAAGAGGTATGGTGCGGAAAGGAGGTAACCCTCTCACATTTCAAAGTGTTCGGTTGTGTAGCTTATGTGCATATAAGTGATCAAGGCAGGAATGAGCCTGATCCCAAGTCCAAGAAATACACATTCATCGGGTATGGTGAAGACGAGTTCGGCTACCGCATTTGGGACAACGAAAACAGGAAGGTGATCAGGTGCAGAGATGTGACATTCAACGAGAAAGTGATGTACAAGGACTTGCACAAGACAGATGACGGTGACTCAGAGAGCGAGTCAACATTTGTAGATGCAGATGAAGTTTCAGATAACCTCTCGGAAGAACCCAATGCAGAAGGTCCTCAGCCAGAAGAGACTGTTGGACAGAATGGTGCGCAGAAGCCCGACGCACCAGCTCCGATGTTAAGGAGAAGTACTCGTCCTCCTGTGCCTAACAGCAGATACATGAATTATACGTTGCTGACAAATGGAGGAGAGTCTGAAAGCTTTGTTGAAGCTTGTCAGAGTGGAGATGCGAGCAAGTGGGAGTTTGCTGCGAAAGAAGAGAAGAAATCTCTGATCTCCAACCAGACATGGGGACTAGCTGAGTTGCCCATGGGGAAGGAGGCACGTCACAACAAGTGGGTGTATCGAGTGAAGAAGGAACAGGGTGGTTCCAGAAGATACAGAGCCCGACGAGTTGTCAAAGGATTTCAACAGAATATCCAAGGAAGAAAGGATCCAGCGGATATGTTGACAAAGGTAGCGACCTTTCAGAAACTGGAGTTGCGTGCAACTTCAGTTGGCCTTCATGCATAGATGATGAAGGCGGAGACACACAGGAGAGGAGCGTGATGAGATAGCCCGTTGTCGTCGGTTTGGTCTTCAAATGGGAGATTGTTAGGTTGGGGGTGGATACCAACCTCCGGCGGCGGAGGAGCTCCGACGAGCTCCAGGATGGCGACAGGCGGCGAGGTCCAGACGCAGGCGACAGGACGAAGCTCGAAGCCCAAGTTCTGCGTTCGCCTCCCCCTTTTCAGCTCTGTGTTCGAGCGATGGCGAGCTCTGCGTTTGGATGGCGAGCTCTGCGTTTTTGGGGGGGGGTCCGAACTCTGCGTTCGAACCTGACCTTTGCGTCAGGTTTAGCCGCTGGCGACAGGCTGTCGCCAGCTCTCCTCTCCGCCTATAAAAGAAAACCCAGGCTAGGGTTTTGAAGTTGCTGAGCTTCCCCCCCTTTTCTTCCGATTCTTTCTCTCTGGCGGCGGCGGCGAACTGCCCTAAAACGCAGCAGCGTTTTCCCACTCAACAGTGTTTGAGGGGATTAAAGAAGAGAGAGAAATAGAAATTAAAAAGAGGGATTTAATTGTGGGGTATTTATTCTCAAGTGAGAATTGAAAGGGTTCATACCCTTTGATTATTAACAATGTAGCTACAGTGTTTATTTGAGAAATCCCAGTTTAGGGATTTGCTCTTGATTTGTAATTTCTTGTTTGATTAATAAGAAATTATCTGTGTGGCTCCCGAGGACGTAGGCAGTTGCCAAACCTCGTAAATCTTGGTGTACTTTTTTCTATACTGCGTTTCTGTTGCATTAGGGGTTTCAGCGTTAAATTCCCAACAAACAAGACAAGCAAGTTTGAAGAGCTCCCAGCGTATAGCTCTATAGCATTAAGTTAAACATTTTGCTCATGCTATTAAGCTGAGACACTAGAATAAATTTGCTGAATTTCTCAACACACCCAGTGCCCAGTCAATCACAGTAAGAACAAAATTGACTCTCGACACTAGAATAAAAGGCTCATTGTTTTCATTGTGTTAACTATACCTGTGATAATCTTTAACAAAATTTCACTTCTAAACGTTTTGCCTCTGAAGGTTGAGTTCTCGTGAGAAATTAAGATCCACCCTCAAGTCATTCCAGAACGGTCGGCTTCAGTATGCTACCCATGTATCAAGATTTTTGGGTTCGAATCGGGTCCGCATAGAGGTTGCATCTTGAAGTAGCGTAAGCTTAACTCAGCAACGTCTCATTTATACCCAGGGATAAAGATTCCAAAAAACGAGAAGTCTGCATTCCTCGATGTCACCATCTACTCATGCGCCTGGGCCCAAATTAAAGGAAACCACAAATAGCACAGGGACAGCTAACATTAACAGCCACCACCAAAGTCACAAGTCCTCATTTAAGCTTGCTTAACCCAACACTCCACAAAAAAAAAAATATGACAAGTTATGACCTCCGTCAAGCCTTAGCAATATGAGCTGTCAATAG